ATGCTTGAAATTTCAATATTTCGAAATTTAAGGACGCTAATTTACTTAAAATGTATACACCCCGGCTTATCATGTAGCGGTAGCTTTCGGAAAGGTGGAAAACATATATTTAATACTTGCGCCGGGTATTTAATGTTCGGCTCCGCCCGAACTTAGACTTTCTTACTTGTTTATTTTAAAATTAAAAAGTAGTCAGAGGGCGCTCAAAGGCTTCCATGTTTTTTATAAGTCCCCCATATAAAAAATTGCCAGCATTAAAAATTTTTAAAATAAATATTTGGGTATTATTATTGCACATCACCTCAAGAGAAACAAATTTTTACAATCTAAAATAATAAATTTATCGAATTCTGCACCATTTTGACGAAAAATGGGTTTCCCTCTTTTAAAATACATCGAAAACTTTGAGCGCTTTGCGCGACCTCTAAATATTCTTTGATTTCGAAATATTTCTTTCGTTATAGATTAATCCTAGCGGGTGAGAGAGCATTAAAATGCTTACTCTACTTTTTCACATGTTTTTCGGACCACCCTAATATACATCCATATTCACACATTAAATAACACATCAAACGACTGTTGAAGAGGAAACAAAATTTCAATTTCATAAATTTTGCTGTCGCTTTTACTTACTTACACGTTATCATTTTTGATATAAAATATATTGCGTATGGACGAATATACATATTTGCATAAGCAGCTATCTAGCAATATTTATTTATCTATTTATTCTTCAATATATGCGTCTTTGATAGCGCATTTACATATTTCGAAGGTCTATTGTTATTGCTGCCAATAACAACAGCAATGCTAATCGTTCCTATTTCTTTTTACAATATAAATTTTTATTTATTTGCCAAAGCAAAATATTTACTTATGAATGTTTAGGTTTGATGGTCGCGCGTGTGCTTTTGTGTGTAGCAGCCAATAAAATGAAATGATGAATAGAAAAGTACACAGATTCTTTTTTTTTTTTGAATAAAATTTATGAATTTCCATTAGGCAAATGCATCATCACTATGGATACACGCACCAGCCCACAGCCAATGTACGAGGCACACACACTTTCCCATACAAATACATATACACAAACATTTAAAATACATTGGCTGTAATGTTAAGTGGGCAGGCACACACATACATATGTATGTATATCAACAACCGCAGGATCAGCGTCACCGTCATCGCCATCGCCATCGCCATCGGAGTGCCGCCGAGTTTGGTCATCAGTGGTGGCTTAACTTGATAATGGATGTTGTGGCTGGAAAGCACGCCTCTCTTAGCCGCAGATCAAAGATTTGCTATTATAAAATACTTATTGCCTTTGTTAGTAAAAAGCTTCGCTCACAGCTTTGTCTGTTGATTATATGGCATTAAACGTTCGTCATAAATCAGCCAATTCAATCGATTATTATACCGCTGCTCTTAAAGTGTGTGTGGGTGTGTGGTTGCATTTTGGAAATCACATCGAAATTGTTGAATGAATTATTATTGTTGATGACGGAGGTTTGCTTTGCTTCTATGGCAGCTGCGATTTTTTATGGTTGAATTTCTATTTTCTTACACTCTGTGCGAATATTACAAATGTGCCCTGGGAGACACATTAGTACTACTACTACATCGTAGCCATAGCGAAAAAGCACAGCACACAAAAGTGATTGCTCTTACGTTGTGTGAAAGCTTTGAATATTTATAAGATGGAAATTGTGTTTAACAGCAAACAATGTGAGGGAAATGTTCGAGTGTGCAGGCAGCAATTTGTAATTTTGTGTTATTGTATTCAATGCAAAGTGTTGTTGAAAAATTCAGCATTTTATTTATGAACTTAAACTTTGGCTTGAATTTAATAGATTTTTATCTCTGACGCTTTTGGTTAGAAAAGTTGGTATTATATTTGATTTTTGAATATATTTAAGTGCACATAGAGCCGAAGTAAACAAAATCAATGGCGCTAAGAAGTACTTAAATTGAAAATTTGTACATACATATGTGTAGATAGATTTAGCAATGTAGAGGTGACTGGTTCATCATATATCCACCACAATGGGAACATTAAAAATTTATTATTTTCGAATGGACAAGCCATTCAGTACAACTTATTACGCGACTTTTCAATAAGCCACTGTCGACTATAAGAAAATCCACCCGCGGTCTTTGATGATGTAACAATGTCAGCGTAATGTATAAATAAAGCTTACGATTTAAAAGAAATGAGATTGCCAACAAACTTGCTTACAAAGCTGCCTTGCTTAACAAATAACCTAAATGAGTTACATGCACCTATAAAGACAAACATTTCTCAGAAGTATGAACTATTGTTTTTACCGATATATTGCTAGAGGTCTAACATGAAATATAGAAGGAAATAACTCGAAAAGTTGTCACCTGTTTGCAAATTGCGACTAAAGTAAATTGATAAGATAAAGCAAATATTGTAATATGGCTGTCAAAAGCAAGAGATTAAAGAAAGTTTACAGCCGAAAATATTTTTTTGAAGGTTGCCACCTGTTTGAAAACTTTAATTTAACTTAATTGATAAGATAAATTGAATATTGCAATGAGAGTATCAAACGGAAGAGGTTTAGGAAAGCTTACTGCCAAAAATATTTTCTAAGAGGGTTGCCAGCTGTTTGAAAATTTATTAAATAAATGAAGTATAAAAAACGGGCATCAAACGGCACAAAAATACATTTTAGACGCAGTGAAGCATGCCGCGTATTTGCTACTTGAAAATAAAATAAATTGAATTTAAATATTTTCTCTGGGATTCTTTAATAGTTCGAGAGTTTTTAAGAACTTTTGGCAGTCTTTGGGATTTTCTCTGGATTTTCCGGTATTTGTAGTGACTTTTCTGGACTTTTCAGGATTTTTTCGAAACTTCAAGGTTTTCTCCGGTTTCTTCGATTTTTTTTCGTTTTTTTTTTGTGTGGAATCTTTCGTGTTTTACTTTTCGGGATATTTCTGAAGTTTTTTTGGAACTTTTCGGAACATATCAGGTCTTTCGGCACCATTTCAAGATTTAAGTTTAGGTTAGTGTCCATCGCTTTTGTAAGAGCTTTTAAGTTAATAGTTGAGCTTTCCTTGCATTGCGTAGATACTTTTATTGCCACTGAAATCCTTTTAAAACTTTTTTTTTTTATAAATGGTGCGTGATTAAAGATCAGAACAGTGACTTATTGTTTGGTTGAATACAAATGCACTTAAAATTTAAAGATAAACTACTATAAATACACTTCCATAAAATAAATCACAGCTAAAGCATAAAGAGTGGTGTTTACTTTTAAATAAGTATGTAATTGAGAAAGTTTGTGTGAAAGAATATATCTAATATCGAAGATTGGGGCTCAAACAATAAATCAAATTTATTCCGCAATTACTTTTTGTCAGCCATTGGAGTTATTTACCAAAGCAATGAGGAGACATTTTAACGCTAATAAATATTAAATTACAAATAGCAACACAATTGTTGGGATCAAACATATATATACATATGTACTTACACTCATATATACATACATATGTACATACATATGTACATACAAATACTCGTATTCAATACTTACGTCCATCATCGTGCCCCATGCCGATATTATGGCCAATCATGTGCGCCATTGTGCCAGCCAGCAGATGTGGCTCGTAAACGTTGATATCGACGCTGATGCCAACCGCACGCGGCGTACACACAGTTTCCGGCACAGAAATGCCCGCTTCGCCACCAGCGAACGTCTCGCCGCTAAGGAAAAAAAAAGAAGAAAGTAGAAAAAGGAGAAAAAAAGTTGTAAGTAAATTTTAGAGACTAATGAATATTACATATAAAATTAGCAAACATTTAGAAAGCACAAGTTCTAAGGGTATAAGCCAACATTTTGTGCTGTTCACGGGATGAATTTATACCTTAAAATTTTTTTTGCAACTTATTTCTAAAAACCAATGAAAAAAGGTTCACCCCGACTCAGCTGAACAGATTTGATGAGCTTTACTTGCCAGCCGCTTAGAAATAAGTATGTAAGCGGCCGCAATTACCAAACACCAATTGCCAATTGAGGGTTTATTAAAAATTCATTGGCTCGCTCCGAAGGTCACAGCTGACGATTGCTAATATAGAATGAGCGGCTGGTGGGAAATGAATTCAATTAGTTCAAATGATTTTAAAACTTACAGCATTACATGAAGGATACAACGCTTCTTAAATAACATGCTCGCAAATGAAGCGCAGAAAAAGGAGTACTCTGAATTAAGTTTAATTTTGACGCTTAAAAAAAGTATATGAGGAGAAAGAAATATCAAATTACAACCTTTGTGGGTACGAAATGGCATGAAGCGCGTCAATTGGGATTTAGATAAAGAACCAGCAAACAGGTATTTTGGAAGGAAATGTGGTATTAGAAAGGCGTTTGTTGTCTACTAAAATGTTAAGATGAGCAATTGCTCGTATTTATAGAACCAGAACTGAGCTCCAATTGTATTTCACGTATTTCTTAAAAAGCCTATCTACTTAACTTTAATAGTTATCTTTTAATGATGAAAAGTGATCATCCAGACTCCTTTCAATAAGATGGCCACCACATAACTTGGCGCAGTAGCGTGAAATATGAAAACAAAAATAAGCTGGGTAACAATTCACTGCTAGATCATCACCACTGTTGCCTTATTTTTTGCCAGCAAAATTATTTTTCGGCACTAGCCACTTTTTTGGCCAGATGTCAAAATGATTTTAAATTTTAAATGTTAAACGCAATGTTCTTGTTCCATCATCCATCTGAATTATAAATAATGTAATCCTAAAAAAGTGTGGCACTCCGTAGCGGTTTTGTAGCTTATTAAATTTTAGTAGGTTAAAGTGCAAATTTCAATAAGCTAGAAAATGGTGCTGCTAGGCAATTTCTCCCATACAAACGAAGTTTTCGAGCACTGCAATTTATATGTTAGCAAATGCACTGCATCGTCAGCCAAAAAAGTTCATTTCGCTCAAAGAAGTTATTAGGAATCTGCAATCGTTCTAAGCTAGGATGAGACTCCAATCTTCATGGATAAATCCCAAATGGACTTTGGAAGGAAATTTCGCGTCTTCTCACAGTAACTGTTATAAAAGGAAGTTCACTAACTTTCAAAATACTGCAGGATTTTTCAGACTTATAAATTCCCCAAAAAGTTTTACCACTATTTTAGCAGTTTTGTACATACAGTGGTGCTCCAGTATAACGAATTATATAATGTCAGGACCGTTCGTTAAATTGAAAATTCGTTATATCGGAAACAAAAATTATGTACATACATACAAACATACGTATCTACATATATACGCTTAGTAAAAGGATTTAATCATTCATTTATCAAAAATTCCATACATAGGTTATAATATAAAGAAAAGAACATTGTCAGAGAAATGAAGCTAGAGCTTCACACCAAAATTTTTTAGATTTGAGGTGGTTTTATTTCGCAGAAAATAAGTCTGATATGCTCGATTGTTTTTGAGGGCGGGACATGTTGAGATCGAGTGCTTTTTGATGCTTAACATTATTTTCTTCAGATCATTGGATGCACTTCTCGAAGCAGTCGTAAAACAAATAGCAAAGCATTCGTAATATCGAGTTATTCAAATTTTTAACATTCCTTATATAGAGTCAACAATGCATTGAAAAAGTGTTCGTTATACCGAACATTCGTTATATCGGCATTCGTTATACTGGAGCACCACTGTATTTCCGTTTCTAGAATATGCCTCGTATTCCTTAAGCTATTTTGGTAAAGAAATTTTAGATATATTTATTTTTTTTTAATTTATTAAAATCAGAAATTTAATTTTTTAGAAAATTTAAATTAAAAACAAAATAGTTTTTTTAAGTGGGAAAAAATAATTTTTACAAAACAACATAATTTATGAAAAGCACCTTTAAAAAATATGTTAACCCATAAAAAAATACCAAACATTCGAAACAAAGATTTTATTTGGAAGAAATATTTTTGCATTTAAAAACTATTAGCTTGGGAAAAATTATTTTTGGGAATACAAAATTTAAAAATAAATTATTTTTTAGCACGAAAATTTTAGGGTAATAACTAGTTCTGGGGAAGAATGTATTTTTTTAAGTTTTTTAGAAAGAAAATAATAAGGTTGGAAATAATTAAAAAAAAGTGTTTTTTTTTGGCAAAAAATTAATGAACATTTTTAGGAGCAAATTATTTTCTAATTTGATTTTATTTCTTGATTATAATTCAAATCATGAGTAGGTTAAGCCGGAACGCAATAAATATTGGCTAGTTGGCTAGGCGTAAATTTTTTTAAATACCAGCTGTGACTTCAGTCTTACGAAACGTTCGACCACTTCTTGACCTTGTGCATGGCAAGGAAGTTTGTTCGGAATCAAGCTGCTGAGAACTAGGAATTCGTCTGTTCAATTGTTTTTAACATCAAAAAGCTTGTAACTATGCTTAGTTTTGGCTACTTGGTTTTCAATAGCTTTGGATATTTTGTATATTCCCTAGCGAGAAATATCAAAAATTTCTCCTTAGCTTAAAGGGATGCGATTTCGCAGCAAAAGCAGTGTATTAGGGATTAAAGAAAAGCTTAGCCGAATGCTTATTCGCCATAATTTCATATTTTATCTTCCTTTCCTTTCTAAAAATTTAATATTCCGTACGAGATCAAGTATCAGCAGGTGTCTCTACTAAGAGCACATCAAACCACACTTTCACTAACATAAATACCCAAAAATAAACACTAATGCGAGTAAATATTTCGACAAAAGTGTTTTGATTTAAATTATTTATATTTTAAGTTTATGCAGCTCTAGCTGGCTGCAGGAACACTTGACTGCCAATCGTACACAGCAAGAGAAATAGGAAAACCACCCTCCCTCGTTTGTGAAGCCCTCCGGAATATGAACTGGGCACGTGACCAACATACGAACGGGTAAACAGCTAACATGTTTATATACAAATATATGTATAAACAAATACACACAACTTTTTCGGTAGGATTTTCTAACGTCAAGCATACATTTTGTCGCATTTAACCTAAGCGCTTTAAGCTACATCAGCGGAATGAGTTGGTTGACAAACACGCGGGAATGCAAGTATGCAAGGGGAGGAATTATCAAAGAGCACACACCCACCCACCCACATACGCAAACATGTATGCATGCATGTATGTATGTATGTATGCACACACTTTTAACAGCATCAAACTCTTCCGTTAGCGTATACGCCACCACATTTCCGTCTTTACTTTTGCGCGAATTTCCGCTTCCTTTAGCAAACTAATGCCAGCAAAAGCTTATATGCGAATATAGAAATATGCAAACGAATACATGCATATATGTAAGGGGCGTTCCATACCAAAATGGACGGGTTTTACACTTCATTTGTTTGATTTGTTTCAAATTTTTAGGGTTGGTGAATGAACATAAATAATAAATAAATATTAAATTTGAGCTTGATTAATACATTTTAAAAACTTTATAGCAAAAAACAAATACAAATCAATTTAAAAGTTTATTAAATATCTCGAGAACGGGGCGAGGACAAAATTTGTAAAAATCACACTTACACACATCAAAATTTTCTATGAAAGAAAGTATTTTTAAAATTTTTTTCTTGAAAAATTTTTCACATAAAAATTGTTTGATACAAAAAATTTGTTTTTGAAAATATGCCATTTCAAAAGCAATCAAAAAAAATTGCCATCTTAGCTCTGCGTATTGCGCATTATTTAAGTATAGCGTTATGGCGTGCACTCTACAGTAATTTGAGTTGTGATTTTTTTTCACCAAAGTAGGGTAAAATGAGTACATTACGAATTTAAAAATTTTTAAAATTTTTTTTAGTATTTTTGTAATAAAGTGCAAGTTTTAAACTACTACAAAATTGCGTTAATTTTTAATATTTTTTATGCTGACGGCTTTTTGCACTTTTTTCTTATGGAAGAAAATGCGTAAAACCGGTTTCAAAGAAAATTAAAAAAAAAAATTAGCGCCAGTTTTGCAGTCGCTTAAAACTTGCACTTTATTATCCTTAAATTTAATGCATACTCAAAAAATACTAAAAAAATTAAAAGAATTTTTAAATTCGTAATGTACTCATTTTACTCAACTTCGGTGTAAAAATAAAATTCATAACTCAAATTATGGTAGAGTGCGCCCTATAATACTGTACTTTTTATCAAAAAATATGTATGTGAAAAATTTTTGAAGAATTTTTTTTTTAATAATTCTTTTTATAGAGAATTTTGATGTGTGTGTGTGATTTTTTTTTGATTTTTTCCTCATTCCGTTCTCGAGAAATTGGGAAAAGTATTAAATCGATTTGTTTTTGTTTTTGTACTATAAAGTTTTTAAAAATGTTTTAAACAAGCTCAATTTTCATATTTATTTAATATTTATGTTTACACATGAAATGTGAACCCCGTCCATTTTGGTATGGAATGCCCCATATATACATATACACATAAATACATACATAGATGTACGTAAGTGTGTATTAGCTATTTAGAAATAAGGTAACGAGTGAGGGTTAAGGATTAGAATGAGTGTACGTGGGCGTCGCAGACGTGAAAAATATACATACATACAGTTATGTTTCTATTTACATACATATGTATGTACGTACGCTAGCGGGGAGTTAAGGAGTTGATTTTATGGTAAGCCGTTACCTAGTTGGCGATGATGCTTTGCTTTTACTACTGAACCATTTAACAGCTTAAGCGCTTGGCCGTCAAGTGCGCGTTATATATTC